CCCAAAGCCTAAAGCCTCTAGATCCTATCCTCCATAATCACCTTGCCAACAGTGTCACCCACATCCTGTGCTTCTCAAGAATCTCAACTTTGCATAAACCCACAACACCCAAAGAAAAAAACAATTCCATTCTAGGTGCCCACAGCTCAAGGCCTAAGACATCATCAACTACATGGACCCCAAAGCTCCTCAGTTAATCATTTCATACTCCAATTAATTTAAAGGCGGTAGTGAAAGAAACCCTGGATTGATTCTCCATGCCACAGGAAGACAACTATAAGGTAAATTACCATTTTCAGAAGAATACTGCTAATGGGTTTCGGGAAATGGACAGACTAAGCTCTTTGCAGCACAAACAATCATGTACATAAAATTCCATTTGGGAAAAACAAGACCAACCAACATAAACCCTAAAACACCCACCAACATAAATCTACAAAATCATTTCCATACAGAGCATATTTGGTTCCAACACACATACACACACAAATAAGCATCTCAAGTGAATTCAAAAATTGATACCAACCGGGAAAACGAGGTGACCTAGAACAAGTTTTCCCACAACCCAGTTGAAAAAGGAAGGAACTTTAGCAATCACACGGCACTAACACGCGAATTGACAAAAACCCAGAAAATAAAATACGGAAAGAGAAGATGGGGTTGGGAAGAAGGAATGAATGAAGGACCTGAGAAAGTTGATGGAAAACGGAGTCAAAGTTGACTTCGTTGAAGGAGCTGAGCAGAAACCGAATCTGGTTTGAAGCTTTGGAGGAAAAGTTGTCCATGCTGGGCAAGGAATCGAAGCTCATCACAGGAAAGTGAAATTGGTAAGAGAGCACCAGAGAGTGAGAAAGAGAAAGAGAGCCAAAGAGAATGAGCAGGTACGAATGCGGGAGATTTGAGTGAAAGTGATGAAATGAAATGTAATGAAATGAAATCTGTTAATGTCACCCCTTTTATTTTTATTTTTTTGGTTGTCACAGGCTTGGGCCTTTCCAATTGGGTCTTCATTCTTTTTATTATCCATGTTTCGTTTTTTCTTGTAAGAAAGCCCATTCCATTATACTTCTAATTCTGATATCTAAATTGTTAATATGCTACGTAATAATAATTTTACCTGAGTACTAATAAAATTCGATGCATTTAATGGATAGTTAAATTTTCTAAATGTAACAATGGATAAATTTTTATTTTTATCTTATGTATAAAAAAAAAATTTGAAAAAGGTTGTATTTATTTTAATAATCTTTTTAACTATTTTCAACGGAATTTTTAGTTATTAGTAACGGAATATCCTTCAAATATACAAAATGATATATTTTGAGTAAGTTCGTGTTGCAAGTTATTATTATTTTTTTAATTAATGGTGATTAAACTTATTTTAACAATTAATTTGAATAAATTTATGAATGTGACAAATATTTAAATATATTCACGAAATAATGATAGTTAGAACCTGTTTGATGAATAGGATAAGATCATTTAAGATATCTTATTTTATTTTTTAGAATATAATAGTTTTTTCATGTTCAATTATTATATTTTATTGGCGTAATTCAACATTTTATTATAAGAAAATACTAGATTGTAGATCATCGAGATTGGATAATTTTTTTATATTATATATATTTTAATATTTTATAAAAAAATTGTTTTAAAATATCATTTTAATTTTTTACAAAAATATATAAACATTTTTAATAAAAAATATTTTTAAAAAGTATATATCTTTTAAAAATATATAAATTTTCAAAGAAAATTATATTTTAAAAAATATTTTAATCATTTTATAAAATATTTTATAATTTTTTGTTTAAATTATAAAAATTATTATAATTTAATATTGAAATTTAATAAATAAAATATTATAATTTAAATACATATATATAGATATTATATATATATATATATTGAAAGTAAATAATTAAATAAATAAAATATTTTTATATCAATATTATTTATATTTTGTTTTATTATTTTTTATTTTACTATCTTAATAGTTCTATATCTTGTTTATCCAAGGAATTTAGCACATGCTGAAGCTAATACTACCCAACATACATGTAAGAAATCTCAATTTAAAAAATTTAAACATTTAGAATTAATATTCAAATGCTGATAATATAATTTAATGATAAAAATTTTATTATTATCTTTGTCAGGCACAAATTTTTCATGATTATGTGATATTCGTTATATTGTTGTTCGATGTCTTAAATGTTTGTTCCATCTATTTGTTGTTTAATGTGTAAATTTAATTTTTTTTTAATATTTAAATTCTATACTATTTATACATTATTTTTTTTTGTAATATCTAAATTCTATTTCATTTTATAAATTATTTTATTTTATATAATTTTTATTTTGATTAAGCACGTCTCATTTACTTGTTTTTTTACACATATTTTAATTAAATGAATTAGAGGAATATGATAATAAAAAAAAAGAAATTGTACATCTTTCTCTTTTTTATTTGTCTCTTTAATTAGTCCAAATAAAATATTATTATTGTTGCATTTAGATCTTAATTGAAAACTCTAACATCATAATTTTTAAATTCTAATTAGGAATTTAAGATTCTAATATAAACAACTATTGTTCTTATACTCTTTATTGTAAAATAATAAATAAATAACAACAACTGCTGTTTTTACTCTTGTAAAATAAAAAATAACAACTGTTATTCTTACTTTCTTTGTTGTAAATAAAAAATGAACAACAGCAATTTTATATATTCAACTTATCACTCGCAACTTCAACCATACAATGTTTAAGATGAAATTTTAAACAACATAATTTGATCAATATTAATGTCAATTGTAATATTAAAAAACATTAAATCTCTTATATTAAATGTCCCAACCATAAAAGTAAAAAAAAATAAAAAAAAATTCTTTAGTCAAACTAATAATGCTTTACAAACAATCTCAAAACATAAGACACTAAAAAAGTAGAGTACAATGATTAGATTTTCAAGAACCAATTAATCTTTTTTAAATTAGGTTTTATATTTTTTTTTAAATTTAGTCTTAAATTTTTTTCAATATAATTTTTTACTGATACATGTAGATCACTACGTGATTAAAATAATATTGCATGTAATACTTAACATGTGATTATGATTAAGCTAACTTTACACATAATACTTAAATAAGTAATCAGTTCATAAAAAATATACATTTTTAAAATTATGTCTTTATTAATTTTTTTTAGTCCTATAAAATATAAATAAGATAATTTTTTATGATATATTCAGGTCAAGTGTTTCATTATTTAGAATTTATCAACCTAAAATGTTTCAAATTTTTTTTTATTGTTTTATTTATTTGATACAAGAAAAGAGAAATTGACGTAATAATAATAATAATAATAATAAATTTTCACAAAGAATCTGTGTGTTAACTCGATAAGATACAGAGTAAAAAAAACAAAATAGAATAAGTCGTCTTATCTTATAATATAACGAGTATTTTAAAGAGAAAGATGAATAACAAATGTTATCTAAGTAATATAAGAGATAATAATATGATTTATTTTTAAAAAATCAAAGTTTTATAAGATTAAAATTAAAATTAAAATTTAATAAGAAGTCATTTTAAAAGAATGTATTTTTTATTGACTAATTACTTATTTAAGTCCGGTCATGATTTGATGTAAATTTTATGTATTATGTAAAATATTATTTATTTAATTATTATGTAATCACTCTTATTTAACGGTAATAACTATATTTAAAAGAATAAATTTTTTCAAGACTAAAACTGATAATATTTTTTAAAAAGACTAATTCTAAAAATAATATATTTTTAAGAATTATCTGTTGATTTAAATTTTTTACTAAAATAATAACATATTATTAGACAATAATATAAAAAATTATTTACATTGTCGTTACATTCAAATTAAATTTTAATATTAAATATTCTTAATCATTTTAAACTATATTTTAATAGATAAGTTATTTCTTAAAATGCAAAATAGCATCTCTTGCAAACAAAAGTTTGACAGCAAATTATTGTATTTTGCATAGTCTTTGTAACAAAATTAAAATACAAGATCAATACTGTTCTGCCCTACGAACCATACTATGAACTAAAAAAATCGACATGTATAAAGTTGATCAGCCGGTGAACATGTCAATATTCATTCTGTATCTTCTAATTTAAAAAATAGTTAACTGTTGAAAGATCCTTAGAAATAAAATTATGTTTAATTAATATAATGTCATTGCTTTATTAGATAACCATCCATTCTTGTTGTTAGCATGATTCAAAGCTCTTAATTAGATATTTTAAATACGTTTGATTATTGTTTTGAAAATAATTTTTTATTTTTAAAAATTATTTTCAAAACAATAATCAAACATGATCTATGATGTTTTTTCATTTAATTTGCTTTTAAAAACATTTTATAACAACATTCAAAATTAATATATTAATTTATAATAATTATGGAACTGATTATATGAATGAAAATCCTAATGAAGTGAATGAAATTGAAAATGGGTAACGAAAAAGAAAGCCCAAGAAGTTATGGATGCAACACGTGGCCAATTATTAATGAGGTGGGACCTAAAGTCTATCCCCCCTTACCTCTTTTGCTCTATGTTTTGTTGTTTTCATATTCAATGATGTGAGTAAGAGCCAGTTGTCCTGTCGGTGCTGCTATGCATATACTCGTTACCAGTTTAGTTCTTAACTTGTTTATTAATTTTCAATAATTAATAATATTTTTGATTTTCTAACAAATATCCTCATACCACATTAAAATATAAAAAATATTATTACGATGATAAATGGGTTCATTCACTTTACCCTAAAAAAGTATTTGGTAAAGAACTGCCGACATGTATTAGTGTTGCATTGAGTTCCATCTTGGAAGTGAATAAAGTGATGATGCATGAGCATGGCCACACTCACTCACACGTTCCCCTGCCCCCTCACTTCATCAGTGTCTATATCAAGCATCAAACTCTCTTCTAAATAACTTCTCCCTCTGTGTGTTTCTCATAGAACCAAAGAAAGAATGGAAATGTTCGGCGATTCCCTTTCAAGTTTCTCTCCCGTAGACTTCACCACCACAGACCCAAATTATCTCTTTTCTGATTTCGAATGGCTCGCCCAAATGGTCAACGAGGCCACCGATCCCATTCAACAATCATCGTCGTCGTCGTCGTCCACCACCCCCAACACCAACCCCCAACCCCAAGAGGCAGGGGTCCGAAAGTGCACCCACTGCGCCTCCGAGAAGACGCCTCAGTGGAGAACTGGACCGCTGGGGCCCAAAACCCTCTGCAACGCTTGCGGGGTTCGCTTCAAGTCGGGTCGCCTCGTACCCGAATATCGACCCGCCGCCAGCCCGACTTTCGTCCTCTCTCAGCACTCTAACTCTCACCGCAAGGTCATGGAGCTCCGTCGCCAGAAGCACCTCCTCCGCCAACAACTTTCCTGACTTGTCCCTTCTTTTTCTTTTCATTACTCTGTCCATTACTGTCCCATGCATTGCTCAATAACATTACCCTCTTTCGCCTCACTTTCTGTTATCTTTTTAAGCTTAATTATTAATTAAGTGATGAAATTTGTATGATTTTTAATCAATTTTATTTAATCTTGTGCTTTCAAAAAGAAGAAAAAAAAACGTCCTTTTATTGTTACGTTTTTAAAGCTTCAACTACACTTTGCTGCTTTTTCACTTCTTCCCCAGAAGAGAAAAATGAATGGGACTTAATGAGGCAAACTTTGATTATAATAATAGAGTTGCTCAGATCCTGTCTCTATTTTAAGATATACTGTTTTCCTAATTAACATGGGTATCATTCAGTGCGTGTTTAGACTGGATAGTACTCATATTAAAATGTTTCTGTTTTTATGATATAAATGTATCCAATAAGACCAAAAGAAGTGAAAGCCAAAATATAATGAGTATCATGCAGTAGTAAGATATAATTTTTCCGTCTGAATAATAAAATTGCATGCAATGTGAATATAAGAAAACATTTGCATGATATTCAGAATTAATGGTTTTCTCATACATTATTTTCACTTCTTGAATCAATATTTATCATCAGCAAGGTACGTATGGCTCTGCCGTGAATCATTGAATTGCATTATGGGATGTAGGGCCATGCAAAAACTTTGAGGATGGTTCCTAGGTTGACCAAAGAATTAAAAAAATGGACGGCTCCATAGCTATTTTAATTACGTTGAACTGGCATATTCTATGTAATGTCAGTTTTTGCTAGTTACTACTGGTTTAGATTTTCTTTTTCAACTGAAAGATTAGAAGAGGAAGCAGTTAATTCTTCTTTTCCCCCTTTATTTTTCTGCTGCTTAAACAAGCTAAGATGTTTCTATATTCAGTTGTAAATTAGGTCGAGAGTTTTGGATAGATCGATTGATACGTTTATTGCTTAACCTACTTTGACCTCTCCCATTAACAGATTCTAGATTTTAACTATGATATATATGATGTCTTCGACAGTTTGCTTCTTAATCTTGTACTACTAATTGACGATTTAAAATATTATTTTTCAAGTGGAAATTTTTATATGGAAAAATCAAACGCAAATATGCAACTTATTTTATTAATTTTATGATTTTTTAAAAAAATAAACGATTATTTTTAAAGTATAATTTATACTAAACATGCATTAAATATTATCTCATTTTTTTACGCTTCATTTCACATGTAAACCTTAAACATGCATTAAATATTAGAATAAATATAGTGTTTATAATTAATTATTTTTCCATACCTGTATTGGCTGGAATAATGGAAATATGGGGATAAAATATTTACAATCTTATTTCACTGCTTATTTTAATACTTTTAACGTGTCTCTCGTCTACATGATAAGTCATATTTAAATATTGTATTTCTCTTTTCTAATAAATGTTATATTACTCCTTTCAATAATACAAAAATCATGTTAATATTTGATATGAGAATATTTTTTTCGAGGAAGATTTCTCACTTATTCTCTTACATTTTAAATTATTTGTCGTTTAAGATAATGTAATTAATATAACAAAATAATATTTTCAAACTGAATTACATACCTATTTTAAAATAAGTAGAGAGTACTTAAATAAATATCAATAATGTGCAAGTATTATTAAAAATAATTAGTATTTTGTAAGTATGTATTAAAACTACTTTTGCAATTGAACAAAACAAAAAAAAATTAAATGTTAAGAAATTCATCACTGAAGTTTTCATTAAAAACAAATAATTTTTTCATACTCACGCGCTCTTTTATATTATTTGTACAATCTCTTTTTTTATGCATTATATTACAATTATATATCTTTTTTATAACTATTAAAATATTATATTTTTAACCTTCAATAAATAGATGTGAAGAAAGTGGAAAATTAAGCATAAATGCGATAAAAAAAATATTTAAACTAAATAAAAACAGAATAAATATGAAATAGATTTTTAAAGTTATGCAATATCAAAATATGTAATTTAATATATAATATTAGTAAATATTTTAATTTTAGTAAAAAATAATTATACGTAACTAATTATTATGTATAATTTTACACAAATTAAAAAATTCATACAAAATATGATAATTTTAAAAAAAATTGCAAGGAATATATTTATATTATATGCTTTATTATCAATTAAATTAATTAAAAATTAAAAAATTTGTATAAATTTTATAATAATAAAAAATAGTTGAAAGATGTGTTATCAATGCTCTTTTAATTTTTTTTTATATTCTTTACACAGAAAGATTAAACTGCACGTGTACCGAGATAAAATTTATATATATATATATAGTAACATCTTTTTATATTAGTATAATTTTAAAAATTCTTACATATAATTTAAATTTTGTATTTAATTTATATCTAACAAGTTATATATATTAAATTATAACTAGTTAAATAAAAAGTTTAAATTAGATGTATGAATTTTTAGAATTATATCAGTGTAAGAAGATTCTATTATATATATATATATATAAGTTTTTTTTATAATTATATATAATAAAATTATTTTCTTAAAAAATTTATTTAACTTATTCCTATAACCATGAAATATAGAATAATAAAAAAATTAAATAATAATTTTTATTTCTAAATTTTAAAATAAATTTTAAAAATAAATAAAAATTAAACAAATAAGAAAAAATATATTTCACGTGTCTTTTGTGTCAATTTTAATAGAAAAAATACACGTGATTAAGTACTGATTTTAACGAATTGAACTGATAAAGTGTATTTTAACGAATTGGACAACTTGGATGCTTTGTTCTGAAAAAGGTATAATCCTATTGAAAATTAAATTTTTATAATTTTAAGAGAAATAATTTTTTGATTTAATAAAATATAAAATTTGTTATTAATAGTAGAGATATTTATTAACATATTTCTTTCTTTTAACAAATAACTTTTTATACAATAACTATTATCTCTTAATACAAATTTATATGTTTCAACAAGGCAGGGCATAACAAGTGTTTGCCTGAATGTCAAAACGATATCAGTTATTATTAATAATAAATAATAAACTTTAAAATTCCTCAGAAGAATAGAAATGTGAAAATTTGAATCCCTAATTGGTGTTACGTGAATTGGGTCGGTGGGTGTAGTTCTTTATCATTCATCAGTAATGTAGTGAGTTGCGTCCACTTCTATTCTCTTCTAACACTGAAACCCCAAATCCCTTATCAATCATTCCTTAGGCTGCTAACAGTGGGCTTGACATCGCTGTTAGGTTGTTGGATTCGGATCTTGAGCTCCAATCAGGTGAGTGTTTCTTCTTTGAATTTTGTTTTATTAGACCAAAGAAGCTGTTTTTCTTTGTTATTTGATAATGGTTTAGTTAATGTTATCTTGAAGTTTCTGTGAGCTATTTTGAAGTTCACGTGATCATTGAAATAATATGGTGTTTTAATATTCGTAGTTTTGACGGAACAAAATTAATTAGGGTAATACGTTTTGGATAGTTTTGTGGCTTGCTGAGTTAGTTTGATTGTCTGTGTGTGCGTGTGGGAAGGATTCATTGTCAGGTTGCGGCGTTAGTTTTAGGAATGGCGACAAAATTTTGATGCTCAGAACTGAACAATGTAGAGTGTTCATATATTCACGTGTCTTGACGAGCTGGAACTTTGTCATTTAACTGGAGGGATAGATATCTCGAGCGTAAGCGGCTATACGTTGTGTTAAGAACTATTAATAGATCGAAATATAGGCATAAGAAAAGAAAAATGTAGTAGACACATTCATACAGAGAAATGTTAACGGCTGGGATTGGTGGATTCATCTTTATCATTCTACGTGCATAGTGAGAGTTATTCCTTGAAGGAATATTGAATGGTTAATCCTTCTTATATGTTATGGAATCATTTTTCTTTAAATGAAAAGAATGGCCATAATCAGGGGAATCCATATTCCCTTCCTTTTTCAACCAAACTGGGAGATTTTAATATCTTTTTCCCCTTGCATTCCCTTAAACCAAACATGACGTTAGTGCATTGATAATAGAAGGCGATGTTTTTGTTGTCTTAATGGTATTGATAGTTTCATGTGGCACATGCTTAATGGTACCATATAAAGGTATTGTCTTACACCAGGGCACTTAAATTTCTTTTTGGAAAGGGGAGAAAGATGGAAAATAATCTCCCACTGCGTATTTTGAAAAGCAGAGATGTTTCCATTGTAAGGAGTTAGTCTGTTACCCTTTTCTATGACTTGGAAGGCTTCTTATGATATGGAATAAAAGGACTAAGCCAATCTGGCACACAATGAGATTGGGTTTTATGTTGCTCTCCATTCTCCACAATTCAAATCTGGGCCTGTATTTTGCCATTTTAAACTTCTACAAGTTTGTCTTCATTTTGGATAAAATGTGTATAGAAGCAGTTGCCAGTTGGTTGCATATGCTAAGCTTCTTTTCAACTTATCCCCATTTTTCAGATTTTTGCTACTTCTGAAGTTTATATTGGATTCCACCCTGATGCTGCAACATCTTTTTACCTTTCACATTTACCTGGTCACTTGGGTATAATTATTTCTGTACATGCTTCATCTTCTGCTTTAAGTTTATGAAAATTCCTCCACATGGATAGGGAAGAAGCACGGAAATTTTATTTAATTTATTTTAATTAGATAATCCTGTTTGTTTCAACCTTTTTTCATGGAAAGATCCGCAAGTTCTAGTTAATGTCTTACAAATTGCAGAAATTCTTAGACTCTGAAAGTTATTGCGTTGTATGTATTTTTAGCTACAGTGAGTTTAAAATTAGTTTTCCATTAAAAATAAATTTAAAATTGATTTTGCCTTAAAAACTAGATTTAAAACTAGTTTTGTGTTAAACATTGGGTTTAAAACTGGTTTTAAGCCAAATCCAAATTGTTTAAAACCAGTTATAAGAAAAAATAAAATGTATTGATTTAAAATTCAATCCATATAATTGAATTTAAAATGGATTTAGATTGATTTTGTGCCAATTCAATCCATTCACAGCCCTAAGTGTGATGTGTGTGCACTTCAGTTGTT